AAGGGTCAAAATTATTTAATTTCTCCTACATTATGCATAATTCTATTATGAGTTTTATTCACTTGAAATGTGCACAACTGAACTCTTTTGGTTTTTATTTCTAAACGGTTAGAATTCATAACTTACTGACAGTTACTAATGAAAGCTCTTACAATTGGTATGCCATTCATATTCAAGTTTAACAAATATGCAGATGCCCACAATAACAATGAACATCAATTTATGACCATTTAGATTTTAAAATAAATACCATGTCATTAATATCATCCTAATTAATCAAAATAAGAATGGCAAAGCACATTAAGCGTTCACTGTTGTCATTTAGTTACTGCGTAAAAAAAAAAGAAAGAAAGAAAACAATTAAAAATAGGTTTTGTATATCATTTATTGGACAGTTGGTCTTAATGCAGTATCTGTCCATTTTTTTGCCTTAGGAATATCTCCTAGTAATTAGTAGTTGTAACTCAGTAAACAGACCTAATGATAGTTCATACTAAAATGATAATCTGCATCCTACTTCATACATCAGCCCAACATGACCACTTACAAAAACAAATGACAACTTCTAAGAGCTGATGACAGATGAGCACCTAGACCAGTTCAAATAGTTGCAACTAAGTACTACATGGGCATCATAATCTTTCCCATTCCAGCCCCACATAACCAGGAAGTCAGTTTGCCAAGGCCTGATGAGGAGTGACATCAACATAATAATGAAAAGAGCAGTAAAACTCCTGCCTCGAACGGGCAAACACAATAGCAGCGACCACGTTTTAAGCTACAACATCCTGTGTGTGGAGGAGATCTATCCCATCTCCGCTAACACCCCCCAAAAACACCCGAACAGGGGCTTCTCGGGGACATCCCACCAGCGATATGGCACTATATAAGCTCTTATAACACATAGACAGACAGTTTTATGAATTATTAAACACAGTCTGCTCTCTGTATCGTGGTTTGGTTGGCTAAACTGAGCTAACTAACTAGCAGCCAACTCTGTTAGCAAAGGCCTCCAACCGACACCTGCCGGGTGTATGAAGGGGGAAACCTTAAGTCTTTATAAATACAAGGTTATTTCACACTAGGGGTGTTGGGTTATAAGTAAAGCTGGTTTAAGATATCAAACCAAGATATATGTAGGTTGGTCGATGTTTTAAGTATGAAAAATAAAACTTTTAAGCGGGTTGTCACTTCTGTTGTTAGTTTCTGGTGCTTCTGTTGTTGACTGGCATCAAAGGGGAAGTTGAAAAGAACAAACATAAATAAAATGAAAATCCCTTACTCATAGGTCCTGAAGATTTCATGTGTGATTTTACAGAGGAAGACTTCTTCATCGGGTCTGAGATCAGCGGGCGGTTTCTGCCTCACGAACGGCTTTTTGTGGAGAAGCGGCATCTTTCCTTTCTCTTTATCTTTCTCGGAGACTTTCAAAAACAACAAACACAAAAAGACAATTGAGAAAATGTCAAATTAATACGGGTCCATTAAAAGTCAGACTGTAAACTCGTCGAAACCGGTTGAAGTAAAACCGTTAGGATTTTAAATGTAAAAAAAATAACAACGATATTCTTCAGTCTTTGTTAATGACACGCGCTTCCCGGGTGACGTTCAAAATCCAACCCACATGTTTCGCCTTTTTATTCAAACCGAATATAAAGCACACGCTTGGTTCATATATAATAAATGAGCCCGATACATAGAAGAGGAATGATGATATTTACCAAATCTATGATGTGAAAAAGATAATCGGCTCCGGAAGAGAAAGAAAACACAAGAGCATTAGGGTATGTCCCACTTCTCCGAGCGGGGATAAGTGTGTTGACGACAAGTTTTGATCCGCTCTAGTTCACTTTTACCCACCGGGTAGCGCTGGGGGTGGAGCTTCCACGACAATTCTGTCATTCCATTGGGCGGTATGAGCGCCAATCACGCCTCCGTAGCCAATAGTGGGAGTCGAAACTGGAAATGGGTTTTAGTTTTTTTCCACAGAAGCTTCATGTATTTTGAATGACATTATTTGAGGTTAATATATATATTTGAATAGGCGTTGATACGACTTGATGACAGCTATTTTGTGGTTGGAAAAGAAGACAGATAATTGTAGCGCCATCACTGTAACAAATTTCCCAACCACAAAGCCTAGTTTCTCAGACGATTAGAAGCATTTTTGTGTCCAAATGTGCTGTTCAAAGTACAGTTATTTAAGGAAACTAAAATATTATTTTTTTTCATAATAATTAAAGTTGGAGTTTAGTGGCTTTACATCCATGTGTGTTAGTTTTGAGCTATATGATCTATAGTGTACTTGTAAGAGAGTAATATACAAACAAACAAAAATATACAATACAGTCATTACAGTTAGCAAAAGATTGTGCCATATCATTTTTTTAGAAATATATTTTAATAGCTATAATGGGCTTACAAACAAACTCCACTTCTCAACTAAAGTCATCAGTCGGTGACTTGGCTGAGTTTGGCTGTAACACAAGGCAAAATAACATCAAGGATGACGTAAATTGTCTCCAGTGCACTACCTCTGCCTGTAAAAGAAAAGAAAAAACATGCAATGATCCCTCACCTACTTCCTGTTTCAACAGAAAGAGTTGGAGACAGAAATGCATTTGAACAAATTACAAAACCAAAGAAGAAGTCACATACAGGAAAACAAATTTATTATCTCTTAATAAGGACTGCACAGCAATGCAAACATGACATAAAGAGATTCTATGAAACGTATGACTAGTTACATAAACAGACCATTTTAAGTATAAATGTGTTTACAATCAAACTCAACTTTAAAAATTGACAAGTGAACATTCATCAGAAGAGGATGCTGTATGTTTAATAAAAATCTATTTGCATCATTTGTCCTGTTAAAGGCCTCATTGAGGCTAATCGTATTCATTGGTTCCACTGTATCAGAAGAGACTCCTCTGAGGGTCAAAGTACTCTATAAAGATGGATTTGCTTGAGAGAATCTGGATCTGTGTCATTTTTTAGATAAACCGTGTAATCAAGTGGTACTTCCTCTATCCACTGGCTGAGTGCTAATGTCTCTAGGAACTGGGGGGAAAAAAATGTACACAAAAGATTTGTTTTATGAACTCTTGATAAAATGTATTGAATTACACTGCCAATCACAATTTAGAGACAAATTCAGAAATAACAGAGATAGAGAGAAACTTACAACAGCATCCTTAAGTAAAGCAAGTGTCTCTTGAATGCTGGGTACAGTTACTAACAGTGCACCTTTCTTTCGGAAATTTTGACTAATAAATAGCCAAGCTCTGAAAAAAAAAAAGAATAGAAAAAATGGGTAATTTTAGTTTAAACAATTTAAGACACAATAACTATTTATCATTTGTTTATTATAAAGAAAACCTTTATTTATGCATTTGTTCACATCTCTGCATGTTCCTGAGTGCAGGCACTTACTGCATTTGATCACTTGGTTCCATGAAGTATTCAAACACGTTGTTCATGATCAGAACATCTGTATTTTGCACTAAGTCAGACTGAGAGCGGATATCTGCATGAATCACCTATGCACATTAAACATCTTTGTAAATATACTATCCAGACAAAACAATTACCATTGGACAAAGAAACGGTTTGGTTGATTACCTGAATTCTGTCACTGAAGCCATATTTCTCTACAGCCATTGTTTGAAGCTTGACAAACTCTGAACTTATTTCAATCCCCACAAGCTGAGATGATGCACTGTACAGGTAGCCCTGAGGAGGGAAAAATGATCTATCTGAGGCAATAATATAGATGTATTATCAGACCATGTTTTTAAAAATAAACAAAAGCTGGTGTAGTCTATTGGCTACAGATCTGGACTGGTAAGAAAAAGGTTGCAGGTTTATATCCAGCACGGCAAGGAAGTTAAAGGAATAATTCACCCAAAAATAAAAATTTGCTTCAAATGTACTTCTTCATCAGAACAGATTTGGATGTAAATGTAGTTACATTACTTACTCACCAATGGATCCTCTGCAGTGAATGGGGGCCGTCAGAATGAGAGTCCAAACAGCTGATAAAAACATCACAATTCCCAAGTAATCCAAACAATTCCAGTCTTTCAATGAACATCTTGTGAAGTGAAAAGCTGCATGTCTGAAAGAAACAAGTTCATTGTTAAGATGTTTTAACTTTAAGCTGTCAATTCTTGCCATAGTCCATAATCCATAATAATGCTTCCTCCCGTGAAAAAAATCTCCTGTTGTCCCCTCACATCAAAATCCACTGGCATATTAGTTTATAACTGTTTTGCACTGTCTTCGCTTGTAAACAGTGTTTGATCTGTGCATATTTCTGCCCTGATTCAGATGAAACGATTTTTTTCACTGGAGAAAGCGATATTATGGATAAAGGACTTGTATTTGAATTTGTTTATTACAAACATGCCACTTTTCATTTCACAAGATGTTAACTGATGGACTGGAGTCGTGTGGATTACTTGTGGATTATTGTGATGTTTTTAATCAGCTGTTTGGACCCTCATGCTGACGGCACCCATTCACTGCAGAGGATCTGTTGGTGAGCAAGTGATATGACGCTAAATGTATCTGTATCTCTTCCTGTATCTGAAGAAATAAACTCATCTACATCTTGGATGGCCTGAGGGCGAGTAAATTTTCAGCATATTTTCATTTTTGGGTGAACTATTCCTTTAACCCCTATTTGCGGCTACAGATTGTTTCTGTATCTGCAAATTGGGGTTACAGACGGTTACAGATTGTTTCTGTAACCTTAAGGTAATTTACAATCGATAATGAGTTTAGTTGCATTTAGGGTTAGGGTTAGGGGTTAAACAAACAATCACCAGCAATTTACCCCAAATAACACAGCTCCAAGTCTAGATCCCACATCCACCACCAGTTTTCCTGAGAGGTCTGGAAGAACGTTGTGGAACAGGAACTGGAGCTCCGGGATTGAGAATGAATGTGAAATGAACTCTGAAAAATTATAAATTGCATATTATGATGTTGCTTTATTATAGCATGAATTTATGAAATACTTAGCCCAGTATCCATGCAAACACTCACCCAGCGGTGCTGTTCTGTGCGATCTACAGTTGAGGCAGTAGTTGCGACTCATTTTTCCCTCCTCACACAATGAATCCACAGCTTCCTCATCATATAAGAATGCATCCACATGCACAGTGGGATGAGGTTTCTGTTGAGTCTAAACGTTAAAGTATCCTTTAGGATCTAACAACGCAGTTGTGAATGCCAGAGTAAAATACAAAAAAATATAATGCACAGACCTTCTGAATAGCCATAGTCTCCGAGAGAGCCATAGCCTCCAGTGGAAGGTAAACCCTTAGGTCTTCTGCAATACTTTGAAGAATAACACTTTGGTTATCCACCAGGAAATCACCCAGATCATCTGAAAATGTAGATAAAAAATTGTAACTGATTTATGTCCATGACCAAGTCAAAGTGCTTAATATTGTCTAAAATTAGATACAAAGTAAACTGGAGAAAACACAAAACAAATGCTCACACCTTGCACACAATCTAACCTGACAAAACAATAACAAAAGTTTCCAACTGTGAATTTACCGGATGTTTTCAACCATTCTAACAGCTTTGGAAGATGTCGTCTCTCTGTCTTCCACAACACCTGCAGAATTTCATTCTTTGCATCGTTAAAATTCATTGATCGTTTGATACTTATCTTACGTCAAACACAATCTAGATTGCAAACATACTACTGAGCAACACATGGGTCTGCTGTACGCAGTAGTGGGAAGCGTGTTATAATTTAAGGTAGAACTGTACATTTTCTCACTCTGATTAACCATTCCAGATCGTAAAAACAAACATTTCTATGTGTAATTTCACTCGTATCACTTAGATTGTAATGACTCTTAAAGGTAAAAATGCAACCATTCTGTTTAAGTTAAAATCAGTTTTATATACTGCTGTGCCACCTTAATAATTTGCTCCATGACCAACATCTCTGATGTAAAAAAAAAATATTTTTAAAAAGAAATAGTGATGGGATAAAAGTATATTCTAATTTATATACACAGACACATATGGATTTTACTTAAGTTAAATGAACAGTGAGTAAAAACGAATCTAAACTACATATAATATTTTTTTAATAACAAAAAGCCAACTCTTATTTTACACGGAAGTAAAGTTACGTCACGGGAAGTTGAGGTTAGATGACGTTGTAGTCGCTGTTCCACTTGCCGAAAAACAGCTGCTGCGAGTTTAGGTAAGTAATATTTAATCAAAGCGTATCTCTTTATATTAATAATTTGGATACTGAACATCTTAATTTGACGTTGTTTTGACTTAAACATGATTTAAATCCTGTCTTTAATGAAATCGACTACGTTAATGCGGTTTACAACGGCTGTCTGGCCTTATTTCAGCATAGAGCTGTAACGGAGTCAGTCTTAGAAAACATACAAATATATATTATAAATCTGTGATGATTTTATTATAGTTTAAATTACTCATGGGTGTTCCAATATTTATGTTTTGATATGGAACGATCCATGTCTTAAAATGATCCAGATTCATCCAGACTGTGCAGGACATGGCTGTCAATAACAGAACAGCTCATCCACGATAACATTTTTTGATTTGTGTTTGTTTATTAAGGTTGAAAACATAATTGCCCTGGTTCCACTGAAGTCTCGAGGTTCAGAGTGAGTAGTGACAAGGAGGATTGTTTTGGGGGGAAACCCCACCACATTGGAAAGCCTCATTCACCTAAGAAGTAAGTCTGTCTGCATTACATCAATCACACTTTTAATGTTATGAATTTACTTCTCAAAACCGATAGAAAATATGGTAATAGTTATGGGAAGAGGTCTATCAGTTAAGAGGTTTGCAAAATTTTTACCACAGTATTGCATCTCTCAAATTGTGCAAACAATGGTTCTTACTTCTTTAGACTACTGTCCAGTGGTGTGGTCTACTCGAGTACATCAAGTAAAGACTTAGTTACAGTTAGTCCAGAAAAATTACAGTTAGTCCAGATTAGAACTGCACGACTTACCCTGAACTGTAATAGAAGGGTTAATATTATGAGAATGCACAAAATTTTAGGTTGACCACTCGTGAAGGATAGGACAACTGTTTCTTTGCTTTGTTTTATAAGAAATATTTCAGTTTCTAGAGTTCCTAATGTCCTGTACTGTCAACTTTTGTATAGTTGTGCTAGTCATAATTTTAACACCAGGCATGCATCAAAAGGATATTTTTTATTTCATGTTTCAAAAACTAATGCAAAGCAATGGACTGTAATGTATAGAGGAATGGAAATATGGAATGATTTGCCATCGGACATTACATGTTTTTTTTAAAAGTAAAATGAGGTTTAAAAAAATCTTTAAAGGAATATCATGGCACAGTATACAGTAAATTGTTGATTCTGATGTTTTTAATGAATAAAATCTATATACAGTTTTATAAAATCTCTCTCTCTCTTTTAATCTTGGCTACCTGAAGTAACCATAATCTCCTGTTGCAGGTTGGCAGCTCTTAAACCGCAAATATGGTTTTAGCTGATCTGGGGAGGAAGATAACCTCAGCTTTGAGGTCTCTCAGCAATGCCACCATCATCAATGAGGAGGTACAGTGAATATGATACAATCTTAAAATGAGGCTTGTTAAGCACTGTGGCCCATCATGAAATGTTAACTTATTTACCATCTTTCTTAGGTATTAAATGCTATGCTAAAGGAGGTCTGTGCTGCCCTGCTCGAGGCTGATGTGAATATCAAGTTGGTAAAGCAGCTTAGAGAAAATGTCAAGTAAGTAACAAGAGGGTTTTTCTTTTTGCCATTTTATATAGTAAATTACCAATTATAGATTATCTGTTTGCTCTATAACCACTTTGTAATCTCAGGGCAGCCATTGATCTGGAGGAAATGGCTTCTGGCCTAAACAAGAGAAGAATGATCCAGCATGCTGTTTTCAAGGAACTTGTCAAGGTAAATGATGGTTTGCTGTTTTGTCTGATAAATATTGGTTTTCACATTGTTCCTCAGGGAGTCCTGTACTTGTTTACACCCTGTAGCTCAGGAGATACTCTATTTCATCATGAAGTAGCGAAACTACCTTAAACCAAATGGAATTGACTGCCTGATGATAGAAATGTATTCTAGAAGATAAATAGTGTTTTTTTTATTGCAGCTGGTGGATCCTGGAGTGAAAGCCTGGACTCCCACGAAGGGAAAGAACAATGTTATTATGTTTGTGGGTCTGCAGGGCAGTGGGAAAACCACAACATGTTCTAAGGTGAGCAGTTCTTGGGTGTTTGCACTGAGATTTTAGATTATAGACCTGTTTTTAAACGGCTTATCATAAAGGCAAGAAAGTTTGGAGGAAAAAAAACAGTTGAAATGAGAAAATTGTCAATCTCTCTTCTATATGCAATCCTATATACATTATATTCATTTTATAATAGTAACATTGCATGTATTTTTTCACTCACGATAAGTCATATCTCATTGCTGCTACACTTTGTGTATTTATTACTTGCATCAATTCTGTTTTTACTCTGTACCTAGTTACTATTGTCTGTATTTATTGTCCATATTTACTGTTGTCTTTTAGTCCTTGTGACTGCCATGTGATGTGCTAGATAAAGTTGACTTTTTTTATTTTTATTAGTTGGCATACTACTACCAAAGAAAAGGATGGAAGACGTGTTTGATTTGCGCCGACACATTCAGAGCAGGTATCATCGCAGAAAAGTAATATTACTTCTAATGCTTCTGGAAAAAAATTAATTTGTTTTGTTTGTTTTTAAAGGTGCCTTTGACCAACTCAAACAAAATGCCACAAAAGCCAGAATACCCTTTTATGGAAGGTAATATGAACTTTTTTTTTTTAACATACCACACTTGTTACTATTGTATTTCATCTGCTCGCCAAACCTAATCATCGATTTATGTTTGTGTGAATTAACAGTTACACAGAAATGGATCCAGTGATCATAGCTTCAGAGGGTGTGGAAAAATTCAAGACAGAAAACTTTGAAATAATCATTGTGGACACTAGTGGTAGACATAAACAGGAAGACTCACTTTTTGAAGAAATGCTTCAGGTGTCAAATGCTGTGGTAAGTGTGAGACTTCTGAAACGTCTGTTATTATAAAATATCAAGAAGCAATAAAGAAAATAAGATGTAGTTGCTTCATGGTCGTTATTGTCTGTCCCGCAGCAACCTGACAACATAGTGTACGTGATGGATGCCTCCATTGGTCAGGCTTGTGAGGCTCAGGCTAAGGCCTTCAAAGACAAGGTAGATGTGGCTTCTGTTATTGTCACCAAACTGGACGGCCATGCCAAGGGTGGTGGTGCACTCAGTGCGTAAGTACACGCTTTATGCATTTTACTTTCAGCACTTGAGTAAATAAATGCAGGAGCTGACATAATTTATGTTTACAGTGTGGCGGCCACAAAGAGTCCTATCATTTTTATCGGCACAGGCGAGCACATTGATGACTTAGAGCCTTTCAAGACTCAACCCTTCATAAGCAAACTGCTCGGTAAGGTTAAATATACTGCTGAGCTGCTGTTTAGTTAAAGGAACAGTTCACCAAAGAATGAAACTTTGCTTAAAATGTGCTTATCCTCAGGCCATCCAAGATGTAGATTAGTTTGTTTTCTGATCAGAACAGATTTGTAGAAATTTAGCATTACATCACTTTCTAAACAGTGGATCCTCTGCAGTGAATGGGTGCCGTCAGAATGAGTCCAAACAGCTGATAAAAACATCACAATAATCCACACCACTCCAGTCCATCAGTTAACATCTTGTGAAGCGAAAAGATGCATGTTTGTAAGAAATAAATCCATCAAGGCATTTTAACTTTAAACCACAAGTCATTAATTGATGGATTGGAGTGGTGTGAGATTATCGTGATATTTTTATCAGCTGTTTGGACTTTCATTCTGACGGCACCCATTCACTGCAGAGGATCCTTTTGTGAGCAAGTGACGTAATAATAAATTTCTCCAAATCTGTTCCAATTAAGAAACAAACTCCACACCTTGCACAGCCTAAGGGTGAATACATTTTCAACACATTTTCATGATTGTTCATTGGATGTTGGAACTGTGTTATTTATGTTGCAATTCTTTTTCTTTTTTTCTCTAGGTATGGGAGATATTGAGGGACTGATTGACAAAGTGAATGAACTAAAGCTTGATGACAACGAGGAGCTAATTGACAAGCTCAAACATGGTAACTAGAACCTTATTTTTACAAGAATGTATATTTTTGTGCATTCAGTGTTTTTACACTACATTAAGATATTTCCCAGTGCCTTTTCACCAACAGATGTGACATTTCTCTCTCTTATTAGGTCAGTTTACACTCAGGGACATGTATGAACAGTTTCAGAACATCATGAAGATGGGACCGTTTGGTCAGATCATGGTAACGCCAACCTTTACTGAAAGGATATCTAATTATGATTATCCACTGACTTGTTCTTTTCTTACAATTTGTGTTTTTCTTTGTATGTGTTCAGGGAATGATCCCAGGCTTTGGAACAGATTTCATGAGCAAAGGAAATGAGCAGGAGTCTATGGCCAGACTAAAGAAACTCATGACAATAATGGATAGTATGAATGACCAGGGTATGTGCTTTTTTTCTCCTTTTAGCAATGTCTAAAAGTGGAATAATACACTGACTTCTCTAAATTGGACAATTTTAGGTATATTTCTGAACTATACTGGTTTAGTTTAACACACTGTGGTTTTTCATCTCAGAACTTGACAACAAAGATGGTGCCAAGCTCTTCAGTAAACAGCCTAACCGCATCCAGCGAGTGGCTCGGGGATCTGGAGTGGCTACCAGGGATGTACAAGAGTTACTCACACAGTACACAAAGTTCGCACAGATGGTCAAAAAGATGGGAGGCATTAAAGGCTTATTTAAAGGTTGAGTGATCTGAACTTGACGCATTCAAATTGTGTTCATTTCCTGATGCATTTAAAATCAGTGACTCATGGTATCATTGTTTTAAAGGAGGGGACATGTCCAAGAATGTCAACCCATCACAGATGGCGAAAC